AAACCGGGTTATAGGAGAGATTCGGTGGCACAACTCGCCCACATCCGGGGTGCCACGCCAGCGTTCACACTCAAACCTCTACTGCCTACTTTCACCTCTGGCGTATTTTTTTTCAGGTCTCTAGTCGTCTCGGGCAAATTATGAGGTCTTGTAGGAGACGGAAAGCGAGCTATGTATCTTTTAGTGGCAGACCCCGCCCCCTTTTGGTGCATGGTTAGCCCAACAATGCATTCAACCCTACTCCATACCTCAATACTTATGCACATTTCCGGTCCGCCGGAACTTTCTAGGCAACGGAGTTATCGAGGGCGCGTGGCAAACTCCGCCGACATCCGGTGAGGTGCCACGCCCAGCGTTCACACTCAAACCTCTACGTGCCTACTTTCACCTCTGGCGCATTTTTTTTTCAGCGTCTCTAGTAGTACACGTCTCGAAGCCAGAATTATGAGGTCATGTGTAGGAGACGAAATCGAGCGGTACGTATCTCTGTGGCGACCCGCCCACTTTGGTGCATGTAGGCCCACAATGGCACTCAAACCCTACTCAACATACCAATACTTATGCACAGTTTCCCCGCGTTCGCCGGAACTTCTAGAACGAGTTTATGAGGCGGTGGAAACTCGCCCACATCCGGGGTAGTGCCGACGCCCAGCGGATTCACACTCAAACTCTACTCCTACTTTCACTCGTTAGCGTATTTTTTCAGGTTCTCTAAGTCGTCTTCGAGCAGAATTATGATCTTGTAGGGGACGAAATCGAGCTACGATCTATTTGTGGCAAACCCCGCCCACTTTGGTGCGTGGGTCGCCCACTGATATAGCTCGGCTATCAATCCTCTTCCCAACCTATTTTCTACTTCTTCTCCCATCTCTGAAACTTATTGGAACGAGTTTATGAACGTACCTTGGCAAACCCCGCTCCCACTTTGGTGCATTGCTCCGCCGCCAACAGCGGTTGACCCCTTTCCTTGCCAACCTCATTACGCTTTGTTTTTCCCGGACCCGGGTATCTAGGAACGATTATAAGCTAATTGCCAAACTCCGCCCACATTGATTAAGCACACGCATCCCTGGATATTAAAGCTTCCCCTCTCCTCCTGACTCTATCCGTTGTTTCCTGCTCTAAGTCATCTCGCGAGCGATTTATGCAGGCTCTTGCTAGAAAATGTGCCGGCTCACGAACACGACTCCGCCCATTGTGGCGGGCCTCCGTTCACAAATCAGTGCGTAGTGGAAAACTTTAGGCTTGCTGCCCGCATCATACATTTACGTTTTGGTCCTGTAGGCTTCCTCTAAACTGAGTATGAATATTTTCACTGAGCACCATTTTCTAGAGAACTCCCCGCCCACCGACGGGTGGCCCCCTCAATTCAATCTGGCTACCAACTCACACTATGCCCACTTTGTGTCCCGTTCTCGGGCTTGTTTATGTGACGAATTTAATCAATGGTCCTCAGTACCATCATTTCGACTGCACGCCACGCACTGGTGGGCGGTGGGGGCTCCGCTTAGGTGAGGTTATGTTTTTACTTCTTCGAGACGGGTGGTTAGTATTGATGCGTACACCTCAGCCCAGAACATGACCTGGACCAGTAGGTTAGTTGCGCGCTTAATTAGGAATTTTGTACAGGACGACAAGACAGACTATAGCGCATTAGATTATAGTATATAATAGTAGGGATATATATGTATATATTTGTTTATCAAACCGTGTAGGAAACACGATGTAGAACGTCATTTTGCAGGAAGTAAAGTCTGTTGTGAAATACAAATTTTTCCGAATTTTTGTTGCGCTAGATGTTAGGATGGTCTACAATATCAAAAAAATAGCGTAATAGACTCAAATACATATGAGAAATCAGGAATTCGAATAGCTAATACATGGAGTTCGATGACAGCGCCGTTTTTGTCGTTTTTTACTGAGATTAAATGACTTATAACATTATTGCCAGGTATCCTTTTTGACCTCTTTCTCAACGTGAACAACTTTGCTATAGTCCAGAAATCGCCTGAGTCACTTTGTGACAGTAATTTGGTCCGAGTTGAGGAAGTCAGTCAGGAGACGGAAGGATCACACATGATAACTATCGGTGTAGGGAACACAACTTTCCTGCACGTTCTGACAAGAAAAAGTATCTTTGCTGAATACTGACAATTGAGAAATTGTTGTGAGGTTTGAGGCGACCTCATCTGTAATACTCACTTCACTCTATCTGATCCCGATTTCTCGAATTTTGTCACCTATCTACAAAACATTTAAGTATGTTCGCCCTACAATTTACAGGGAAAGAGGAGGGACTCGTCACATATCAGAGCGTTTTCGTGACCACTTTCGGTTTGGGCCAGTCCTCATGATTTAAAAATCGAAGTTTCTTAGAATGGCAGCTAAGTTCATAGCGGATGACTTGCTTTCAATGACTTCTTCAGAAAACTTCGGTGAATACTTGCTCCATCAACAGCGTTTTAATTGTGCATGCAGCAATGATAAATAAAAAGGAAAGCAAAATGTTCAAAAACGATGCAAACATGAAGGTTTCGCTAGCCTTGGTTTTAGGTAAAATGGTAGTGGCGTGAATTTTTATGTAATCACACGGGTTCTTATACTTTGTAGCTAAAATTTATGCACTGATTCGTAAAGCATTTCGGAAGAAAATGTGAAACCTTCATAAATTTTTGCGCTAAGACGAAAAAGTTATAGCAGGAGAAAGCGTTCTGTCGAAGACTCTCGAATACCACTGAAACTCAGCATGATTGCAACGAGATTCGCTTAGCGAGGTGCGAAAGGGAATATAATCTAGTGAAACCGAAAAAATTAGGACGACAATTACTTTATTTCTCAAATAGTGGTCACCATATGTACTGCGCCAGGTGTTTCTTGAAATAGCATCGTCTGCCTTCACATGGATAACCACAACGAAATCGACCAGCGCACATATGGATAGCCTTGGAATGATGGTCCAGTTATTTGGTGATAAACGCTGAAATTCACTTGTAATAAGGCGACAAGTCTGTAGTTCACTCTGTCTTCGTGACACTCGTTCAGATCACTTGCCAGGAGATGAGGAAATGCCCAGCTTTCTCGAAACGTTTTAATATAAAGGTACGTGCAAGAAACACAGATCTGGGGCTCATTTCTCCTGAGCGACCCTCCAAATACCAAAAAAAGAAGCGGAGAAGAACTTCTTGAGGAATTAGTTCTTGAGTTTCTTCACCAGGTTTTCAGACATGTCTACGTATAAAGGTTGCTGATAGTCCTATGTAGTTATGGATATTACATAAGCTGTTTCCGGTGACGCTACTTTTCGCGAATTTTAAAGCGCCAACACAAAATGCAAAAATATTGTCACTACGAGGAATCGAACAACGGACCACTTCGTCACACCTTTTCTAGTATTCAAAGGGCCGCTCAGGAAAAAATGAACTACAGTTCTGTGCAGGGTGAAAATCGTGTCGAGGAAATAACCGCCTCTTTACGACCCCCCTCCGAAACATGTACTCTGATATGACCCCTTTTTGTTCCCTGCACATCCGGTTTCATATCAAAAAATGTTAGTTTCATATATATGAGGAACGCAGCGCCGCTGCCACGCAAATGCGGCTTGTTCCAAATGCTAGATTCAATTCTGCTCAGACCAGGTTCTACTTCTTTCTTTTGAAGGCATTGAACCTTTGCCACATTGGCCGTAAAGTGGAACATTGAAGGAGGTACTGCCCCTGCACAGTTGAACAGTCTCGCGCTCCAGTATAGCGGCGCTAACCCCGCGATAGCGTCGCGCGCTGTGCCTAGAGCGCGCTAGTTGGAAAAATCGTCAAATGTACCCCCTATTTAAAGGGCTATAACTTTCTTCATTGATAACCATTTCAGGAAGCGAAGGCAGCTTTTCAATGCGCGGGTCTTCTAGTTTATAAATTATGCTGAACGTTTTTCTAAGCACGCCTATTCTCGAGAGTGGAAAACGTCGAGAAATTGTCGAGGAAATTGAAATTTACACGCGAGTTCCCACTCTTTGGAAGGCAGTAGCTTTCTTCATTGGCAATGCTTTAAAAATCGGAGGAAAGCATTGTAAAGTATAAGATTTACGCTTTCTGATAGGTGCTTCAGTTGTTTCTAACGCTTTCTAGTTCGCGAGAAATCTGCGTCGAGGAAATGTCAAGGAAATTTTTGAAGCCACTTGAAAACTCTAATCCTCCCTCGCCGTAGTAGGGAACTTCTTTGAACACCTTTAAAATGCTTCTGTACACGTCAGTTCGATGGAGTGAATTGAAAATGATGCGCTCGGCGCGGATCCATTCCGTTCTTGTATGCGCCATGCAGTGACCCCACTCGGAGTCATTGGGAAGGTGTATGTCCAGTGACGACTTGCTTAAGCACATCAAAAGATATTTCCAGTATTAACTAGTTTGGACGACTCTTGTGGTCATAGTGATGCCTGATTGTTCCCTTAATCAAATCGCTTCCTTTCCAGCCTGTTCTGATGAATGACAGCTTGCGGTTGCATGGATCTGATGATGCCAAGAAGGCTGCGAGTCTGCCTGTTTTGAACTTTCTAACAAGATGCTGTTCCTCCACTAAGTTATCGCAGCATGTACATCACTCTCGAGTAGATAATCGCTGCCCTTTCCCTGCGATTCTTTTGCAGGACGCGTTGCCTTCCTATGCCATACCGATCACTACGAACCAAGACAACAACCACTTGTAAGATGTTATTTGCATTAGGCTAAGTACAACGCTAGTGAAACTAATGATGACAGCAAATAAGTGGCAGCAGCACCGTTCTGTACGTTGACGAACCTTTTTGATTACGACCCACTCCCAACTCTCATTGGAGCAAATATCCCCCTGTCGAGGATTTCTCGTACGTTATTCCCCTGTTCTTGTTTCACATGAACGTATCCCTAACTATTGTGCGCCAAAAACCGTTGAAAAAGCTGGCCCTGGAGCTCTTCCCGTGCTGAATTCGCAGTGTAAAGGTTGTTGAAGAATTGATGAGTTTAACTCACCGTAGTCCAAAAGTTGCACTCAGATATAAGCGCCGCAATTTTGAACGTTTGTCCTTTGTCCACTTCGTGTGAAGATGAACATACTCCACTACAGATATCTGGCTGCGCATGTACTGAACCAGTTCCGATCCACACACATCGCTTCTTATGTACTCTCTCAGTTTGTAAATCTTCATCAATCTCTCTCATCCATTCCCAGTGAGAAACTAATCATTGCAACTATACAAGTAATCAGGCCAAATTGTTCCCATAATCAAAAGTCCGTTTTCCACCATGTCTGGACGCCACGATGAATAACGCCTATTGTAAGTCACTTCACTATTAATACTACAGAAGCTCGTCGCCAGTACGCCACACAATCACTGCATTGTGCAGTAGAGAGCATGTCTAGTCGATATAAATAAATTTATCATCATATCACACATACACTGCGCCCATAATATCGTCCACCTAAGAATTTCCCAAAATCTCAAAATACAGATGTTATAGCGACAAAAAATCTCCGCCCTATGTACAATTATCGCATATAAATACGGCAATTTGCCTCTGAACATCAATTTCCGCTAATTTGAGATCAAGAATTTTTCCCGAATATTTTTGGTAAAGACCACTCAGCCGACGTCCCCAAAATCTATAGGTCACACCTCACCTGTATCGACTTCTACTTTTCAACTTCTGGTCCAAACAGAAACTTTTTCATTCTGGTGACATATCATATTCCTCTTAAGGAACAGCCAGAATAAAGACTGCTTTGCTTGAGAAAGGAAAAATTTCGCAAAACTGTGACAACGCAATCGCAACCAGATTTGGTCCAGAATTCACTCCAGCTAGCAATTTTCTTGGGGTTCACATTGATATGATTTATGAAAAGCTGCTAAAGTCTCTCACCATCACTGTTTCGCATGGAAACAAAGGCCGGTGTCACAGACAGATAACATCCATTTTCAATCCAACGGTGCTCTGTCATCGAATCTTCTGAAGAACCATTTATGCGCTCGAACACGACTTTTGTTTCATGCATGTACAATGGAATCCCAAGATCGTTCATGGATCAGAAAATGTAAAAGAACGTTCATATTGAGTGGGCAAGCGAATCGTGCGAAAACAGGCTGATTTTTGCGTGCAGTGCACCCATGCCACTGAAACTAAGGCTCGTCTCTGCCCTTCTCGCCCTTTCTTGCTTTTTTGGTCAATTGGTTTGTTTCTTTCTCACTCTACTTTCCTTAATAGCCTTTTTCTCAGAGCAAGACACTACTAAAGAAAGAGAAATGTGATAAGAAAGAGCGGACACAACAACTCATGCATACCAGGGAAAAAGGACCCCTGCAGTCCGTACGCTCGGCTGCACCTTCAACGCAAAAATCGCCCAGTTTTTCGCCACGCCTTCCTTAGCCACAAATGAAGTCTTTTACATTTCTGATCAAGAACGATCTGGATTCCTTTAAATCATGAACAACAAATTCTTCGAGCATAAGTCTCAAGAAAGATCTCATGAAGAACCACCGTTGACTAAACTTGAGTGTTATACTTACCTCTGCCTTTGTTTCCATCGAAAAGTGAGAGAGACTTTAGAGCTCTTCTAAACATCCATATCATGTGAAACCCAGAGAAAATTCTCAGCTTAGCGTGAATTCTGGACCAAATCTGTGCGATGCGTTGTTCAATCAGTTTCTCGCCGGAAATTTTTCCGCTTCTCAAAACAACAAGCAGTCTATATCTGCTGTTCCCTTAAGAATGATATGCACCAGAACTTTTGAAAGTTTGTGACACAGAATGAAAAAGTAATACGATAAAGGAGTGTATGAACTATAATTTTGGTACGTCCCGCTGAAGTGCCTTTAACCAGCAAAAATTATTGGGCAAAAATTCTTTGATCTCAAACAGAAAAGTGAATGTTCATCAGGCAATGCGTATTTATATACGATACTATGCCACATAGGAAGAAACTTTTTTCGTACATCTGTATTTCTGCCGCATTTAGGGAAATTTCTAGGTTGACTCGTATAACTTACTGGGACCCATGTATTAAATCAAAACAAAATTGAAGTTTAGAAGAGTGGAAAATAATCACAACACAGGGAGGACGCCCAGAGGTTTTCAATATCCCTTGACTGTGCATTTTTCTGCTGAATTTTCTTCATAGAATCCTGTACCATTAGTATTCCAGCTCGTTCGAGTTCTATAGAGGTAAGTTCCACTTCAAGAATATCAGTTTTTTTGATTCAAGTGCAAGGCAACTCATAGGAAAGCGTACTCTCTATAATTGTAGGCAGAGGGCAACATTTTTAACGGCAGTATTAAGCGAACTTTTTCGCTCTCCTTGGTTGCAAAAATAATATGAAAGTGAGACCAGCGTGTCTTCAGGTGACGCACCGATCATTTTGCCATCTATTGTTCACTATTCAGGGTCGACTTGCGTTGACTCTGCACGTCCTTAATATGTCACACAGTTTGTTGCGCGTTCTTTGTGATCGGCACAATAACTATAATTAAATAAAATAAATAATAAAGTCAATTTGGTCAAACAAAGTTGCATCTTTGAAGCGGATAATAACGAGCGTGACTGACACCATGACTTCGGGTGATGGCACACTTATCTTTTAGTCAAACCGCTGCCTGCTGACAGTTGACTTTTCAAGTTTTATTGCTGCACCAGCTGTCAATTTCGGGCCCTGCTTGATCAGGCAATTTCTGCTTTTTCATTGGAAAGAAGTTCACAGAAATTATACACTTTGATGCCTCATCAAAATACATTTACTATGATATGAAGGGTGAGTCAGGATCATGTTCTAACTTATATTTTCAACTTAATGCCATCGCGAGGGATGCGCCTACCCCTGCGCAGCAGAATTGCCCTAAGCCTCGCGATGAACTTGTCTTCATTATACGGGTATGGCCGCCCATTACTTACATCCTTGTCAAAAACAAATCAAGTTTAATCGCCAAAATTATTTCTAGCTGTTACAATTTTCATAAGCTAAGGGGCGATCACATTTACATCATTTCACAACTTTCGTAATAACCCAACAGTCGTTCATGCAATAAATTCAAAAATTGTGCTGTTAACTAGCTGGCGATAATTTTTAAATTTTGTTAATCTTCGCATGTCAGGGATTGACAATTCATACATACTCAAGATTTGATAGAGAGAGAGACATGTCTATTTTGAAAATTAAAAAAATAATGGAGAACATATTCAGCAAATATTCTACCACCAATAAAGTTAATACTCCTTATATATCAAATTATCTGAACTGCAAGGAATTACTGTAAGACTTCAATCAAAAAATGAGAAGCCACTTCGCTAGAAAACGAAAAATGTTTTGGTAAACTTTTACTTACATAAATTTCTTTTGTTTAAACCGATAATATCGAGGATATGTATTCTTACTAATATAGATAATCCCATTTCACATAATACCAAACCCCCACTTCGTGCTCAAAATATCAAAGAATGAGACATAATAGGAACACAACTAAGAGAAATAAAAATGAATGTAAAATATACCAGAGACTCTTCAAAATTTTCATCAAACAAAATCAATGAAGTATAAGCCCATAATTATTGATTAGAAGCCTCGATGGAAGATTATACTTACGCACGATGTTCGTGTGATAGTAATATTTACCAACATGTCCCTAGTGTATAAAAAGTTATTTGTGTATTCGGTGTAAATGTGTGTGTGGCGCCGTGTGTATGTGCGTTGTGGCCCTGTCCGTTGTCTTTCGCATGCGGAAGCATTTATGGTCTTATCATGACATCTGAGTGACCCTATGAGCTGACGTACTAAATGACATAGTGCTACATCCTAAATGACATACTAAATGATATCATTAATACTCATGACCTCGTTAACATTCAACCACCATTTCCACAATTGAAGCATCGTGTGAGTGAAATATCAACCAATCAATCAGCAATCTAACCGAGCTGTGATGGAAGTTGAATATAATGAAATTTCCTATTAGTCCGTCCAGATACTTGCGCAGCTCAACTTTCTTTGCAACATCTCTTTAGATGAACATATTCACGTGCTAGGAGCATGGTTTAGATTCAACTGAGTCACGCTCAATTCGCTACTTCTGTCGCTAGCCAGTGATAATTGCAACGGAGTTGGAGAAACCTGCATTCAACGCTCTATCATTCCTTGTCGTTTGCTATCAGTTCATACTGCTACGCGTTCTCCCCTTCTACCCTCCAGGCAACGTGATAGCAGCTAACATATTTGCTGTCACATCACAAAGCTACAACGAAATAGCAGTACTCAAAAGTCTTAACTTCTTATCGACCGTTATCGTTGTCTCACTTTCGTCCACCCACTATTCCACGTTCCATCCCATTCTTCCCTATACCACATGTAGAGCCAAGGTTCCCACGTCACCGCGAACGCAACAAAGCGGAACTGGTTATATCCACACTTTGACGTCCCTTATCACTCTTATCAAGTTGCTAATCACATTCGTTCACCAAACTTTTGGCCCCCGCTCACCCACACATTATACATGTAAACCTCTCCACCGTCAACGACGCGAACGCGAACGAAATTGGTGCATCGACATTTTGACTTCCGTTATCAGCTCCTATCAATACTAATCACTCCCCGCACCCATAATAGCTGTTCTGCCCAGCCCCTCATATATCCTAGAATTTTGAGCGCTCTGGGTCCAGAGGGAGTGAAAGTTATCATTTACGTTAGACACACAAACATACACACACAACCGCTTAGCCGATTGCATATAGTAGGATGATACAGCATGCCAATAATAAAAAAATCACTTCATCAAAACCAATAGACTAGAAAAATTCCTTCATTATATAAACCACAGCCAGGGTAAAATCGTGTCGAGACGTGGTCGCAGAGGTACCCCCCCCCCCCCCCCCGAAATCGGAGATCCTGGCACACCCTCTCTAACAGAGCAAATTAATTCATTAAAATAAATCCTGAAAACAAATCAAAAAAAATTCTGCAAATAATGCTAAAGACGCTTCATCTTGTCATCTATGCACGTCTTCCATCGCTGCCTACTTTGTGTACATTACTGAAATATCGGCTCGAGAAAGTGCATTCACTTTGTGGACCTTCAAAGGCGAGGTTCGTTCGAAACGCACAGAAATCCTGAAGACACGGTTTCGATTCAATCTTGATTCTTGCTTGATTATCAAAACAGCAGAGTGTATCAAGGCCGAT